ATGAAATACTTAATAAAAATTAATATATAAATTGTTAAGCTTTAAGATATAACACGAACACCGAATCGTTTTCCAATTAAATTGAAGACCACAACCAGTAATGCTTTACTCTGTTGATTGATATATCGATCGCCCCTTACAGTTTACTATTACACTGACGTCATGTTATGCGGTTAAAAATAACGATGATAGGGTATTGTATACTTTGCAGTGTTATGAACGCTTTGAATTGATGTTAAATATTTCTCATCACATTTCCTCAAATAACCCTAATATGCAAGATTTCACAAATTATTAATTAATAAACTTCTCAGGCTTCTAAGAAATTACTTGATCACTTTTCTAAATGCAAGCAGGCAATATTGTTCGCCTGATACGCGCTGTACCTATTATTTTAGGTATTATACGTGCTTAGTTTCTTCTAGTAGTTGCTAATAAACTAGGTTTTAAGCTATTGCATAGCTTCTATCGCGGGCCTTGAGCGTGGAGACCGAATCCAGGAATTCCGTAACGAAAATAACCTAACACACGATGACGTAACGTGACGTCTCACATCGGGTGCAGCCGGTACGCGTTAGAGTGAGACAGACTGTATAGGCGTGTTAGTCTGAGTCTGGTAGAGTGGTAGATTATGGAATTAATATCAAAGAAAAAACTTGAATTAATATCAAAAAATAAAAATACTGCATAAATAAATAATTATAATTGCATAAGTTGATAAAAAATGCTATGCAATAGCTTTACCGCGGCAGTCCCCGAGTGCCACACATATTTTTTATAGGGAAATGGGAGTTAGCAAATTACCCTTGATTTTGGGATTAAAATATCTATTCAGTCAGCTATGAAATCGTTGTTGAAATTACAAAGTCCCCTGGCTTTATATCAGACAGGGCAACCGGAATGTTGTATTTGCTGCTGGTAAACAGGTTGAACTTTGCCATTGGTCAAAATTGCAAATGACGTATTGAAATCAAAGGTTTAATGTTTGTAATGAACTCTGTGCAAACAAGCAAAATCAATATTTAATTTTAACTGTATTGCGTTTCATTTCATATTAGTTACATTTCCACGAACTGGGCATAATAAACTGGATATTATGTGTTCACTTAAATTACTTGTTGTCTGTGAAGAAAAATAACAGAGGCGCTAGCGATTAATTTTTTTGATATAGGTTGATAAATGAGGGATTTATGAGGGAGGGAAACACGTGGCATTTTCATTTACAATTCATCGTCATTTGAGATTTCAATAAATTATTTTGCATAAAACATAAAATACCAATATTTCATAAATTCTCTTTACGAAATTTTAAAAATAGAATTTCTATAAGGTAATTCGCCCTTCTCACTCTCTCTCAATCGGTCTCAATCGCTCTCTCCCTTTTCTTCGACAAAAATGCTGCACATCTTCGTGACGCTAATATTATTATTATTTCGTTTCATCCGTAAACATTTTACTTTCTCATCTTTTCCTAAAGCACTTCAAAAAAATTATATTGCTGAATCTGTTACATGATCATTTTATTTTTCAATCTAATAGGCAAGTAGGTGATCTGCCTTCTGTGCCTGAAACTCGCCGTCGACTTTTCGGGTCTAAGACATGTCGGTTTCCTCACGATGTTTTCCTTCACAGTTCGAGCGAATGTTAAATGCGCACATAGAAATAAAGTCCATTGGTGCAGCCGGGGATCAAACCTACGACCTCAGGGATGAGAGACGCACACTGAAGCCGCTAGGCCAACACTGCTCTAGCTGGTTATGGTTAGCTCTAGTGAAACAAAGGAAGACGAATTAATATTCCGATTCTCGGTATTCGTACATCCTATCCATCCATCCATCATACCTCTGGTACATGGTAAATGGAGTAAAGGAAAATCACAAACTTCTACGCAGAAATAATTTTGATACATAAACGCTTGAATATCAAATAAACAACCGCAAAATTTAAAATAACTCTGCTGGTTTTATACGTTGAAAAGGCCATAATTAAACAGTTGAACAAACTTCATATTATTAATTACATAAATTATATTTCAAAACTGTATCCATTTTCACACGCAATCGAACACAAATACTACATAAAATATGATATACCTGGAATTATAAATATTCTTCATTTGATATCCAAATAATTAAACCGCAGCTCATCGAACTGAAAATTAATTTATATTTTAAAGCCCTCACGCTCAGTTTCACTAGTTAATAAGTCTTTGATAGCAACCACATATTCAAATAATATTTATTTAATTAAGTTGAATATTACAAACAACTGAACCTAGTAACCGAAATGACTAATGAATTTCGTTCATCCAAACATCAATAAAACCGTTATTAACGCCCTTTCGATAGGTAAACTACGACCTTAAAGTTTTAAATATAGAATATTAATTAATCGGAAACGGATATAGATGTTTTCTTCTCAGTCAATGAATGTCGTGTTACAGATTAGCTGAACTTAATTTATGATTTTATGAAAGTTATATTATGAACAAGATTAATATTAAGTTCACTTTTATAACCGAATTGCAATACAATGATATATTTTCCTAAATTTCAGATCGCACGCAAAAATATTTGACAACCGTATCAAAGGTTTTTTATTACTGACTATATTCTTCATTGTTCAAAACAAAGGACACCTCTACCCGAAATTGTGGATATATCAAGTCCATTCGAAACGTTTATTTAAATGCATTGTTTAATTTTAGAGTTTACCGTATCGACTGGATGAACATTCAACGTTTGACATTTTGTGTTGGATTTTACTTTTTTTCGTTATTTTTCCAATGAAGACAAATACCACACCCGTTCTCGAATAAAATAATAAAAATAAAAAATGTGTTTATTCATTATAATGTATGAGGGAACCCTTTTAAGTATAAAATACCTGGGTTCCCAGCTTTTCCATAACAAACTTTATATATGTTCGAAGAAACACGAGTTTGATATATTTAGATACTGTGGCAGTAATTAAGTCTCGCAACCGATACTCCAACACTATCCTCTCAAACTATTCTCTAACGTGTATGTAAGCCGATATTATCACCTGTTGTGGCCGCAGTTAAGGCATTCAAGGACTCAGTCGCCATATTATTATGAAAGAACATCCTCACGCCAATAATCTGTGCCAAATTGAGCCCAATTGCCGCGGCCGTTACATGACGTAACAATACTGTCGGAATGTAGAAGTACAGGTTTGCGCGGGCGCAGGTTACATTCGAATTTAAACGGTTTTCAGCGGCGGCGGATGGCAAGTAATTTTGTTACTAGGATTTTTACAAATTCAGTGACGCTACAACCTTTTTAGGTTTGGGCCTCAGATTTCTGTATCTGTTTCATAATTATTTGTCAATCTAATAGGCATGTAGGTGATCAGCCTACACACGCCGTCGACTTTTCGCACGTCCTTTCTGTCGTCACTTTGGCTCGTCGCACAGCCGGAGATCGAACCTACGGCCTCAGGGATTAGAGTCTAAGCCAACACTGATACTAGGAAAGTTGGCGCACGATTTTGGGTCTAAGTCATGACATTTCCTCTCAACGTTTTTCTTTATTGTACAAGTATGAAAAATATACATGGAAAAGACAGTAACGGCCGGAGTACGATACGAACAAACGTTACGATTGAACACATTTAGTGAAAAATATTTTGCATACCTAGGTGAACCTACCTCAAAGTTATTTGTTTGAACCGAAGTATTATAAAAAAAATGTGTTCAATTAAAATATAAGCTATTAAAATATATATTTCATTATGTTAAATTATTGAATTGAATATCGTCGGGTTTTATTAACTCCGTTAAAAACGCCTCCGCAAATGCCATCCATTGCGTCACGTAGGTCTGAATAAAATTCAATTGTCATACAAAGGTGCTAATTTACAATAAATAGCGAAAATTAGATTTATAGTAATATGGATATAAACAGGAATTTTTCCTTAAATGAACATTGGTCGAAGATAATAGATATTATTATTAATACACAAATATTTAATTAATCGCTATAATTGTAAATTATTTAGAGTATTATGACAGTTTAAAACAAACTAGTAGTAACATTCCGCTTCGTATGGCTAAGATAAATCTATTCTATGACCAGTCATTATAACTGTGGCAGAATTTTTCAAATCGGTTTAATATGGCAACATGGTTTGGTATGGTCATGGTTTAATTACAGACAAAGAAAAATCTAATTTTCCTCTTTTTATACTAGTGTAGACTAAATGAGTGTATCTTTAAAGCAAATAAAGTAAGAACCTCTAAATGAATCGTCAACTCTAAACTCAACCCTATATTAGCGAAGCTGTTTTAATCTCCGGACAAGTCTTTGTCGAAATAATCAAAGTTTCAAACTTGGAACAGCATTGCCAACGTCAATGGCCTTTTAAATACTTCGCGTCGAAGAATCACACAACATGCTTATAAACATTGTTGAATCAAAAGGCACACAGAGTCTACTCACGTAAACATACAATACCATTGATTATGGATTCTCGGTTGGAATGTTTTGGCGTCACATCGTTTCATTTTCAACCCATTGTTGAGGACAATGAGTCAACGCACAGGTCCTGAACACTCATTATATTGCGAATGTTTAATGCATCCGTTATTAGAAGTAGACACTCGATGTAAGTGTTTTAGGAATTTATTGCTGTTTGATATGCTTGAAGTATTATGTCGACAATACGATTTGCATTTAATTCTTTTAATAATATGTCAAACCAACTTGCTGAGGTAATGTAATTATGAAGAGGTTGAACTTATCATGATGAAATATATGTATCAATCGTTAAACATGATTCGATACCTGAGTTTTAGACTGTTCGGCTAATACTAAGGCGAAATCTCGTGTAAGATTTTCAGTATGTTGCTATTTCGAGTGTCAAAAAAGTCAGTTTAGAAATTTAACACGATTGCTTACTATAAAATAAAACAAACAAGATTTATGCATATTTAATTCCTACCAAGCCGATTTGCGCGGAAGTGTTCACGATTAACGCATTTATATTCTAGCAGCTATTTGTGTGACTTGCGTCCATAAGTAATCTAACTTGCTTTGAACTTGAAGAGGCCAAATCTTAACATTAACTTCCATGTTATTCACCAGTTCTTCTAGTGAAGTTTTAATATCTGAATTGGAATAGATTTTCGTATCGTAAAAACTTTTAGACAAATCATCCAATTTGTCAACATTTTCATAATTCAAATCGTAATTTTCATCAATAAACTTAATGAGAGCCCTCAATGCTTGTACTAAGTCTATAAATTGGGTTTGAAAAATATCAGTATCTTGTCCAGTTAAAATTTCATCCATAAAGTCCACAGCATCGCGTTGATAAATAGAGTCCAATTGAGCAAGAATCTCCATTTTCTTTCGAAAAACCTCATTACCTTTAATAGTATGCATGTGTTCATACAGGATGTCACTCACAGCCAAAAAGAAAGATTTCAAATTATTTTCTTTAGTATCAAGTAAATTTCGTAAGCACTCAACAATAAATTCACTGTATAAAGTATTTCCAATGCAAATAGATAGGTTGTTGCAAATTTCGGTTTCCATTACATTCATTAATATTTTCATTTGCTGTCTCAAAACCGTAAATTTGAAAGGTTGGTTGTACCAAATGTCCGATAAAGAGGCCTTTTCTTTTAGATCTGATAAGTTATTTTCCACGACGGATTGTAAAAGAAAATTTGAGAGGTCTGTGAAATCTAATAAAAATATCGTGCTATCGTTATATTTAGAGTTCTTTACCATTTTCTTGAAATAGTCTTTTAAAATAATTTGATATTCTGAATTCGTAGAATTGAAGTTGGAGTCAATCACACTGGCTTCGTATTTCTCTAGACCGTAATTAGTTTTTATGTTCTCGCGAATATTATTAATTAATTTTCCTGATAAGTTTGATAGAAAATTAAAATATGATTGTAATTCTTCATTATTAGGGTTGACTCCATCTATTTCATAAAAGTTATGACTGTGTCTATTTATATGATTACTTCGCATATCCCAACGTGGTGAATCCAAATTATACGTAAATTTGTCCATCTTCAAGGTTCTTGATATTGAAACTAAAAACAAATATGTTAGAGAGAGAGAGAAGAATATACTTCTACAAATAAAATATACTTACAAAGTGAAATTGTCCACAACAACACAAACATGTTAACGTTCTAACTCTGGTTATTTTAAGTTTATTTTATGGCAAATTTTATTACAATGTACATAAAGTTTATGCTCACTCGTTAGTGCACACTTTAAACGATTTTATAAAGAATAGCAATTTTTCCACTTCTCTCCTTATAAATTAAGATAATTATCTGAAAAGCTTATCGTATTTTTTAAGAGGTTTATCCAATGTTTATTCTTCTTAAATTAAATGCGCATGTAAGTAGTAGTATAATCAGTAGAATCTTTTATGGCTGAATATCAGTTCGTTTAGCCTTTTAGACGGGCTTAGCATTTATTTCTATCATGTCTGTTACTAACATTTATCGAAATGCCATATATAAAACTGACCTGACCTATCACGGAACACGAATCAGTAGAACAAAATTCAGTATTCATTTTTATTTAATATTAATTGGAAATTTAAAATATAATACATATAACGTTTCCGTGAAATGTACTAGTATTTGGACCGTTCAGTCGAATTTATGACAAAATTGTGTGCAATTTCATGCATAGTACAAGAATTCGTTATTCTTTTTATTGTATTTACATTTTTTTTATATAATTTAGGAGTAAGAACACTTCTGTGAGTAATATGTTATATGAAATATTCATGCTAAACAACACTAAACTCTCTTCATTAAACACGTTGGGGAGCTGTCATATTATCCACTCCTAGCCTAGAACAGCCGAGTGCATTTGTAGTGGATTTTGAAAGTTGTTTCGCAGTTTGCTGAAGGCTTAAGGACTTAGCTGTTCACTTGGCTGGAGGATTAATGGGGTTCACATTTTTCAAAGCAAACTTTAGTATTACGCCTGCACTGTTTTAAATTTGATAAGACTTCACCTAATGTTTTGTTAATCGTTATCTAAGAATTTTTTATCTTTCTTCCTATACTCTATATAATCAAAGACTTCAATTCCTACGACGAAGAGTAAACTAATGCAAAAATAGATATTGAATATGAAATCAAACGAACGAAAAGGCATACAGCTCCACGATCTTTTTAAATCTTATATAGTATACTATGCCGTCGACAGCTAGCTTAATCTCTTGTTACAAGGCGCCTAGTTTATTACTTTTTTTTAGGGGGGGGGCAGTCTTCGCAGGCCATAGACACCCATTTTTAGTGGGTGCGTTACCGGCCTTTGAGGGAGGCGTACACACAAATTTTGAATTGTTGCAGGTCATATCTCTCACGGAAGAACCCCACTGGGAGTTGATTCCACATTTCGCGTGTTCGCAAAAGAAAATGCCGTGTAAAACGGACTGTGGAAGACTTCCAGACTTTACCTTATTAAAGTTAATTATACCGGTTTGTGTTTTATACAAAAAATATCGCAAGAATTATATTGCCATAAATGGTCTATTAAGTTATAGTAAGATTTTTATAAATTAGTTTATTTATTAACTTCCGATTCGTAGCTTCTAGTTAAATGGGGTATCATAAGGCACTTATATAAAGTGTAAGCCGCGCAATGCATAACTATTTAATGTGACACTAATGTGTTTGGTAGCCCAAACAGATCATCATATTCAAGTATTAAGTCCAACAATATCACAAAGGTAATAAAAATATTTACAATTTCTCTTCAAATGCTTGTCAATAGGTTACAATTACATTGACTAAAGTCAAATATACATTTTCGTTGGAAATATGAGCGGAAAGTATGGAATACCTTTCCGCTGTGGCGGTCACGCGGTGGACCGTTGTTTCCGCTCTCAATTTGCCTCAAAATTCCAGTTCGAACTGTGCTCAACCGATAAACGAGTTCGACGCGGTTGTCGGTCGACCTATGTTTTATTATATTTGCCTCCTATATTAACAAAACTTCATTGAATTCATTATTTAATAATAGAGTAATAATAATCTAGTAGTGCTCCAACCCTAGTCTTAATTGAATCCGTTTCTCTGTTTCTTTTTATATATTTTACTGACTATATCATATTCATATCATATTTTTTTTATATAAAGGATATGAATTACAAAGAATTTAGGCCGTCAATTTGCTGGGAACAACATGTAATTGTTAGGTAGGATCTTATAATAAATATGTTATAAACTACAGGCTAATAGCCTCTTAATATCCTAGTCATTATACACACTTTTCGCCCTAGGCGACATCTCTTGAAGTTTTAAACAAAGTTATACCCGGTTGACGCGCCATTGAAGCACTCATGAAGTTATTTTCAACACAAGATTATAACTATCTCACGTATGTGGATCATAGATTAAGCTACATGAAAACAGCAAGATTTTCCAGTTTAATATTAAAGCTGCTACTCCGATCTATCTATAAAAGGTATGAATTTAAATCAAAATATCTATGAAGGTCAATATGTAAATTAACATTACTACCACAGTTTATTACCTCAAATTCTCTGTCACTGTTTTTAACTATTTTTTATGTCTGTTCCAGGTTTCCTCTTTTCGGCTAGCAGCTTTCTGTACACCGTCAGTTTATAAGACATGAAGTTTTCAATCAATGTTTTATTTCACCGTCAGATAAGCAACTAACTTTGAATTGAAGAGAAAACATTGCAAGCGCTTAGTAAAACTTTTGTTGCTGCACTAATAATTTATATATTTTATGTAACATACTTTAAAAAATAGTACGTGTCATTTATTATACTTGATATTAAGTCAAAAACCATTTCACCACCTTCTAGGTGTATTTCTACCCTTAAAATAAATCCATGGATAAAATTATTACAAATTTAGTATCGCAAGGCTCATATAGATAAAACAGACGCAAGTTTGCATAATAACGTAAAAGCTCTTTAGAAAATATCAGATAACTTTGAGACAGCTGGGAGATGGAGTCGAATGTAACGAGAATCTACGTACTAACGACGAACGTGGAGTTATACAAAGTCTTTCGTTTTAGTTACGTCTTTCATTCGGAGTCGAGTCCTAACTTGAACTACGTAAGTGTCGAAAACGTAATTAGTTTTGTCATTAGTCGCAGTTCGCATCTTAAATGTGAAAATACTGTACGGAAAATAAATAAATAAATATACTCCAAATTGTACTGTTATTTTTTATTTTACGTTCCTCTCATTGTACCTCACGCGTTCCAAGGGTATGTTAAACTAGAATGGTGGTGCGTGAGAAAATGCCGCATCACATTGACAGGTTTGATCTTATTACATTACTCGAAAGTATATCGTTAAAGATAGAATAAGTCCCATTCTTATTCAAAGCTACTTATTTCAACGATTATTATTATTAAGCAGAATTAGAGCAGTTATGGCCTAGTGGCTTCAGCGTGCGACTCTCATACCTGAGATCGTAGGTTCGATCCCCGGCTGTGCACCTATGGACTTTCTTTCTCTGTACGCATTTAACATTTGCTCGAACGGCGAAGGAAAACATCCTGAAACCGACATGTTTTAGACCCAAAAAGTCGACGGCGTGTGTCAGGCACTGGAGGCTGATCACCTACTTGCCAATTAAATTTAAAAAATGATAATGAAACATATTCAGAAATCTGAGGCCAATACCTAAAGAGGTTGTAGCCCACTGATTTATTTTTTTATTATTATTATTAAAACAATAAGAAATATATATACACCAAGCATTGGGATCACTAAAGAACAGACGAAACAAATGCTATTGTACTTAATGGGCTAATAGAGATTGCAACACTGGACACTGGACGAAAAGTGTTTGTTGCTTTGTGCAATTTAGTTTTGGTCAATCAACAATAAAATCTTGTTCAAATCGTGTTTTAGTAACACTGAATGCAGTACACTGTGGTTGTGTAAATGAGGTTACATTAGTTAAGTGTGTATAGAGGAAAACGATCTTAAATGGGGAGAAACCCCGCCCCACCCTTTTACCTGGCTCTGGAGTGACTTGTGTCCCGGGCCCTGACCTATTTATTCCAAAGTGGGACATAATAAAGTGCTACAATAGACCAATCTTGACGTAGACGTGATAGCTCGATATTTGTTTCTAAAAGCTTGTATTATATTTTTTAAGTATTCAATAATCACTATACATATACACAATGTAAGTTGTTACCGAAATATGTTGAAAATAAAATAAAAAATAAAATATGTTTATTATGGAACATAAGATACATGTATCACTTATTCCACGTCATTAAATTTGAAGGCATCCCTACTCATCGGCAAAGAAGACAGAGGGTGTAGGCCGAGAGAAAAAGCCGGCGTAAAAAAACTCTCGGTACTCTTTTAAAACAGCAAATCATCAAACAACACTTATTTAAAACAAATATCGCCAATTGATTAGAAGTAGCCTGTCTAGCACTAGTCCCAGGCCCTTTTATCAACTAGATAATCGTTGACTTTATAGTAAGCCTTTTTTACACAGCTTTTCTTTAATACATTTCTTAAATTTATTGAAAGGCAGTGATAAAAGAGCCTCTGGGATTTTATTAAAGAAGAGTATCCCTTTCCCCAAAAAAAGAATTACTAACTTTAGATAGTCTAGTACGGGGAAATTGCAGCCTGCGTTTGTTCCGTGTATTAACATTGTGCGTATGTTCTATTCTAGTAAACTTATCACTATTTTTGTATACATACATAATATTTTCATAAATATATTGCGAGGGAAAGGTAAGTATATTAATTTCCTTGAATTTATCTCTAAGAGATTCCCTACATTTTAAATTATAGATTGCACGAATAGCCCTCTTCTGCAGGACACTGGACAGAGATGAGCATAAGATTTTTCCAACTATATGCAGAAACCGCAAATTTTAACAAATTTTAAATCTTATATTTTCGGGATTATATCACGAAGAAATATTGTGTATGTTACAAATATAGTTATTCGATAACAATCCTGACGTCATCTGATAACTATCAGCGATATTGTTTTATTATTCACGTAATGATAGACGACACT